ATAGAAACCCAGAAAGTGAGAAAATAGAAGATGAAAACAATGCCAACTAGAGAGAGAGAGAAAGAGAGCTCACCGCGAGAGAGACGATCTAGATCTGGTGATGCTAGCCGCCGGTGCTTAAGTTCGCAGAATGAAAATGGTGCGCCTGGGGTTCTGGTGGCGCCGGTTGGAGAGAGAACTGAGAATGAGAAGAAAGAAGATAAAAATGGTGCCAGCTAGAGAGAGAGAGAGAGAGAGAGAGATCACCGCCAAAGAGAGAGATGACTAGTTCTAGTGGAGTCGGCCGTCGGTGACTGAGTTCGCAAGTGCAGTTGGGTTCACTGGTTCTGAGAGTTGAGAGGGAGAAATGAGAGCTGCCGCTTCTGAGAGTGAGAGTGAGAAAGGAGAATGAAAAGAAAAATTTTAAATATTTAGGGTTAGGGTTAGGTAGTTTAGGAAAAGTCGGGCCGGGCTTTTTTAACAAATCCTGAGCCCGGCCTGTAAAATAGTCGGGCTCGGGATTTTAGGCCCGAGGTCAAGCCTGCAGGCTAAAACACATGCCCAAGCCCGTTCGGGGGCCCGGCCCATGAACAGGTCTACTTAGAACAAACAAATAGGCCCTTAGGGTGTGATATTGTGATTGGTCAAAACTTTTCCGGTATCATGTTTTTCCAACAGAATATTTTTTTATTTTACAAAAAAGAAATGAGGAAAGAAAAAAGAGAGAAAACAGTCGACCTGGTGCCTCGGCCGAGTGGATTTCGAGTTTTTCCAACTAAAGCGAGTTGCTTCGCCCATTTATCACGCGACGCGCCAATAGTTAAAATAAAAAATCAAAGGTAATGAACGAGCTAATGGGCCTTGGTGGAGGCGTGAAGCTTGGAGGTATCAACTTTTTAATTATCACCATGCACTCATCTTTGATTTTGGACCTAGTCAAACTGAGCGCACCCGCGGCTGAGTTTCCCGTAGTCTACGTGGCTAGTACGGAGACAAACATGGCAGATCTGATCTGAGCCATTATTCAACAGATCAGCTTCTATTTTTAATAGAATCCATCAATCGTGATAGTCACGTGGAAAGAACGGTATTTTAATTTTCTCCTTTAATTTGCGGTTTTTAATGTTCAGTCAACCCCTAGAAATCTTAGTCCCACCCCTTGGGTAAGTGTCTGAATTGATGTCAATTCATGGGTGTTATAAGTGGAGGTGTTTATAATTTTGAATTGTTCTATGTTTGTAATTGAATTCAAAATTTGAGGGGGGGAGTATAATCAATTTATCACTTTTAATTTTGGGAAATTGTTTAAAATTCATCGAAATTTTTCACAAATTCTTTTAAATTCATCATAACTTTTCAAAATATCAAAAATTCATCATGTCAATCGGTTTTTAAACTCACCATAGTTCATTGACACAAGTTTCATGACCAAACTGTCCTTGAATATGAGTTAGCTTGTTAAACAATTTTTTTGACTGAAATGCCCTTAAGCACCCAAACTTTTTGATATATAAGATTTCTGCTTGTTGAGATGAGAGTCTTTCTTGCTCCCAACATCCAAGGAGAAGTCTTTGCTCTCAACGTCCAAGAAAGAGTCTTCTTACTCTCAATGTCCAAGAACCTCTAACAAGTTATTTCACCTTCATTTTTTTCCATTTTTTGCTTAATTAGGGCACTCATTTTTTCCATTAAGCGTGGGGGTGGTTCTAAATTCTAAAATCTCCATTAGAAAAACTTTGTTATTTATTCATTTTGAAAAAAAATTGTGGTGGAGAAATTTCATGTTTTAGGATTGAGAAGTTAGTGGATTCCTTTTGGAATTTGATGTTGTGGTGGGAGATGTAACAATCATGGCAAATTGATCATTGTATGTGGATTTTACATTGCCTTACACTGAATCAAGAGAAGCTATGGTGATGCAAATCAAAGATGATCATAAGAATGGTACTTGGATTTTTTTTTTTTTCAAGTCATTGACTTGAGATCTGTAGCTAACGATTTGTAGCATTCATCTCTACTGGCATTGTGGTTTAGGTTCTTGAACATCGAATAAACACAGAGTTCAGGGGATCACCCGGATAGCAACTTGGAATGATATTTTGGTTCTCCTTCTCTCTTTATCTCTCTCACTAAAGATGCAAATTAACTATAAAATCAGAAGATGAAGTTAGGTCTAATATGCTAAAAAAATATGATATAAAATTAATAAGTAAATAAAGAGCATCATTCTTCTTATCTATATTGGTTTGGCCACATCATCATTCCATGTGGATGAAGCAAGAACAGTTTTCCAGAAAAGAAATTTAAAGTTAATCAATCACTTCTGCTGAAAAACCCTCTTTAATTAGTTTCATTCATACCCAAACACTGATTAGATAACCGCTGTCGGATGTCTCAACGACAATGGTTTTCCCTTTCTCATATGGTGGAAAAAGCAACGGCAATTGTTTTTCACGTTTTCATAAAGTGGAAGAATCAGTGGCAATCATTTTCCTTTTCTCAGACAGGAGAAGAAGCAGTGGCAAATGGCAATGGTTTTCCCTTTCTCAAACGGTGAAAGAAACAGTGGCAATGGTGTTCTCTTTCGTTCAAATTATTAGGGTTTTGGATTGAAAAATGATAGGGGTAATTTTGGGATATTGTAAATGGGTCGAACATAAGAGAGGGTAAAATAGTAAATTAGCGACATCCGTTAGTCAAGTTAATGTTATCTTACTGACATGGTGAGTTTTGAATGTTTTGAAAAATTATGGTGAGTTTAAGAAAATTTGTGAAAAATCATGATAAATTTTAGATAGTTTCTCTTTAATTTTTAGCCATGTGGGTTCCATCTTGTTAATATACATAGGGCAAATAGAAGAAGAGTTCACATTAGCCCCCAAAAATGGCACCCCACAACATCCGACAGCACATCCCAGCCATGTATTGGGAACATCTCTTGATGGTAATAAAAACATCATCGGGAAATGTTCCCAATACATATGACTGAGATATGCTGTGGGGCATGGCGGGCACCCCCTTGTGGGGGCGGGGCCGATGTGAACTCACAGAAGAAAAATAATAGCTGACTAGCTGTAGTTGCATAAATTTTATAACTATAACTATAACTATAACTATATATATATATATATATATATATATATATATCTTCTCTTCTTCCAATAGCTCATTAGCTCCATTTTAATTTTAACTAGTAATTAAGCACGTGAAAAAATTTTCTTCATATTAATTACTTGAATTTTATACATATCATAGTTAAGATAGAAATTAAAAAATTACAAAAGTAACAATATGATTAAAAATAAACTTAAATGCTTGTAGTAAATGTGCACGTGCATTGCATGTGGAAATTTTAAATTATAATAACAAATTATTATTATTATTATAATTAAATTTTGTATTCCATTTCTGTCATAAATAAAAATAATTGTTAAAATATGATAAACATATAACATTAGAAATATTTCCAAATGTTTTTGACAAAATTTTGTATTTTTTTTTCATTTTTTGTGTTTCATATTTTTTATTCAATTATGACTTCATGAATCTTTTGAAAAGTTGGATCATTGACCCGCCATCTAGATAGAAAAATAGCTTCGCTTTTGAATCAATTCTAAATTATATATTTCATCTACATTATATAAATAATTTTTACTTATCACACTTAATTTTTGTTTGATATAATTAATATATAATTTTTTATATATTCTTTTGGTTATTTATACATTTTTTTAATGATTAAGTATTTAATCATCATACATTAATTAATCCGTTTGACCCAAACCACTAACCCACGACTCAAAAAGGAAAATATTTTTATTTCTAGGCTGACATTAATTTTTGTATTACATTTTCATCATTGATAAAATTATTTCTTATGTATAAAACTTATTTGTATTCGATATAATGAATTTATAATATTAGAGATGTACTTGATATTTTATTTTTATAAACATATAGCATTAGGTATGTGTCCAAAATTTTCTCTATTTTTTTTTTGTGATTCTTTGTATTTTCTATTTTTAAAATTTTATTATTTGACTATGACATCATTTCATTTCTAGGTTGACTTTAAATTTGGCATTCCATTTTTATGGTTAATAAAAATACTTCTTACATTACACACTTATTGTTATTTAGTATAATGAATATACAATATTAGAGATATCCCAATTCCTTTTTTTGTTTGTATTATATATTGTATTTATTTTAATTTTTTATTATTTAATTTTGGTATTGTTTATTAATCCATTTGACCCCAAATAGTTGAATTGCTAAGAAAATGGTTTTGTTTTTAAAGTATTTTTCAAAATATTTATTTTTATACTATTAAAATTAATATTATGGATTTAATTAATATAATTTAATGATGAAAAAATATATTTTAAATATATGATTTAATGAAACATTAGATATAAGTTTTAATAAGAAAGAATAAGAAAATAGTTTTATTTCTAATTTGTTTTAATTTTATATTCCATTTTCATCATTAATAAAAACATTTCTTATTTATCATACTTATTATTGTTTAATATGCCAAACATACGATGTTAAAAATGTTCCCATTTTTTTAATTTCTATATTTGTTGCATTTTATCTATTTTAATTTTGAATTTTATTATTTAATTGTGGCAACATGAATTGACTCATTTGGCCCAAAATGGTTTAATTTCTTACCACAACCTAGATGAAAACACTATTTTTTCTTAGTAGATTTTGAAAATACAAGTTTTTATGTTATTGGAATTATTAATTTATTATGTATGAATTTAATTAATAGAATTTAATAATAAAAAAATAAAAATATTTTAAATTATATAATTTACTGAGAGAGAATTGAATGGATTTAATATCTTAAAATTACTTTTTAATTCATTTAATATCAATAACAAATTACTCTATTTGTCTTTATTTTTTTATAAATAAATTTAAATATGAAGGAATAAATTTTTATCCTACTCGTGATTTTTAAAATAGAATAGGTTTTTAATTTTGTAGAACTATAAACGAGTCATGTTGACTTTGGTTAAGGAGGGGTGTAACAGGTTGACCTCAGGAAATGAAGACAAGATTCCCGTTTGGAGTGGAAAAATGCGAACCGCGTGGCCGGGAGTCTCTACTCCATCGTCCTCCGCGGTCGATCATCATGGTTCTCCTTCTTCAGCAGCAGCACCAGCAGGTTTTAGGTTAGGTTAGATTTCCATCTCTAATGGCGGACAGCACCCTATTGCCGCTAGCTTCAGGATCCTTCTCTCCGAATTAAAGAGTTAATACGAACATACCATGTTTTCCGAATCTCAGAGATGCATTGGTGGCAGATCACCTTCTCTTCTTCGTCGTCATCTTCCCCTAAATCGTCCTCCATCGGTTCCCGAATGAGACGTAATGTCAGGGACCTTAATTTCTTCAGGAACCATCGAGCGTCCCGCTCTCAGCCCCGTCTCACGCGACAGCGCAAGCTTCGTCATCTCAGCGACGTCGATATCAGCCGTTTGTCCTTGAACACCAGTCCCTCGGATATCCCTAAATCGGTGCCCGTCTCGCGGTCACCCAGCAACCTCGACCACTTCTCCGGGGTACCTCAGCCTTTGCCGCGTCCGGACGTGTCTGCGCTTAGCCGTCGGGAATCCGGGTTCTCGTCTCCGAATCACGTGGACTTACCTCTTCCTTCGCCTAAGGAGACACCGAGCAGAGGTGAGGGAGAGAATGGAGATAGAAAGGATTGCTTAATTGGCGATGTAAAAAGGGAGGGGATCCCTGCTAGTTCTACAATCGGAAGGTAATATTCTTCTTTTCTTTTTGTTTGATAATTAATGTCGATTTACTAAATTCCGAGCATTTGGAACATTTTCCCCCTTGATACGAAAGGACGACAGAAGACCAATTTATCCCATATTTTCTTCTCTTAACAGCCGATTGTGATTATCTCTCTGTTGTGGGCCTTGTTTCTATCAAGTTTGTTTCGGTCTAGTTATTAGACACCAAGGCCTCAAAGATAAGGTATTTAGATTAACAAGTAAACTCAAGCAGTATGCTAGTTTAACACCCCCACACATGATGGATCATGGAGAATCCAGGAAAAGTTAATACCTTTTGTTTAAGAGTATGTATGGTATGTGTGACAGTTAAACCTATAGTCCTCATAAACCTGTGGGCATCCACAAAATTTCTCATCTGCAAGTCTATCTCAATCCATCCTTGTTTTTCTGTTTGGCTCCAACCCATCCTTGTTGTTATACCACAATCCATAATATTTATGTTGCTACAATCAGAATGATCCTGATTAAACCCATGGTTTCCCTTTCCAACAGAATATTGGCCCTTTACTGTTCGAATAAGGGAACATGGAGAAAGTTGATTCTTCAATATGTTAATCATTTAGTGTCTGCTTGATGCAGCAGGAAAATCCTGACATCATGATGGAGATGATGTAGATTTATTTTGATTACTGTTGAAGTATTGATTTCTTAGTGGAACATAAAGGAATGCATCTAATAGATGCTAAGTCCAGTCAATCTGAACAGTTTTGAAAGGATTTAATAGCCAAAAGGAAGGAATCAGAAAATGTTTATCTGGCCTAGGTAGAAACCATGAAAAATCCTTTTTAACCATGGTATGCCTCCACATAGTGGTACTATGTATTGGTTATCTTTTTCTTTTTGTTTTTTACTATTTTTTTTTTTCTTTTGGTAGGTTATGTTGGATGGAAGGAGAAAAATCCAACTGTAGTGTATGCAGTAGGTAAAGAAGGGAGATGACTTATTTTATATGAGAGTGGAGATTGCTGTAGAGAAAATAAAAGATAATGATAGAAGAATACAACCTTTTCCCTGTTAACTTGATATAATTCATTATCTGATAAGGCTTTAGATTTAGAATCTAATTTTTGTTCAAAGAATTTGGACCAATTAGCAACCTAGCATATGTAGGCAAAGTAGATGCTAAGGGGGAAAGATGCACAAAGAACACCTGCTTACCTTTTAGTATGCTTTGTAGATACTAATGATTTAATCACCACTGGAGAAGTGTTACTTTATCCTTCAAGTAACTAGCAGATCTTGGCATCTTGGGACCTATTTAAGTAAGCTTTCATTCTGAATGTCAAGAATCTATCCTCTTTAATATGACTTGAACTTCAAGACTTACCAGGGAAACTCCTCATCCATCCAATAATAAATCTGAGGATTACCCTCAATCACAGTCTCTTGGAGCTCATGGGAGATACAAGTCTAAGCCTTTTGAAGCTGCTTGAGTGACATACTTCATCTTTTTATCTTTTTATTATTTACTTAAAGAAACACTCCATGTCTCCATCACTACCTTTGGAAACACCCCCAATCCCTTAGGACTTGCATTCCTTATTGATTACCCTATCAAAATTTAATTTAACTGTGTTTGGTACTGGGAGGCAAAACCTTGCATCACCTCCTCTTGGAGGTGCATATATGTCCAAAAACCATATAATTCTTTTTTTGAATACCATGCAAAGAATGGAGAGTGGCATCGGCAAAGTATGGATAGCCAACTAAAGGATGAAATTCTAGATCAGTGTCTTCCTCTTTTGGTGTCAACTTGTGGAAAAAAATTCTGGAAGTCTATTACACATCTGCTCCATTGCCCAATTCAAGGTTGGGGATGGCTCTAAGATCATATTTTGTGAGATTGTTAACTTTCTTTGCTCAAATAAAGTCTTTCTCTCTAAGTGAGGGAATTGATCCATGGTCAATTTTGTAATAGATAAATAAGAATTGCTAGTTGTACCTTGTGTAAAAGACCTCTTTCATGGAATTGACTATTCCATTTATGTTCAAATAAGCCAATATGGCATGGTTGTTGGAGTATTATCATCACATATTATCCTTAAGCTAAAGGCGTCATGGCATAACTGTCAGGGTGAAGTAGGGACAAAAGATCAAATGAAACGATACTTTAGACAAGTAAATCCCTTACCTTTATGAATTCAAGGAAAACATAAGGCTTTTTCTCTATTCAAGGCAGTTTGGTGATTGAAGAAGCCACATTATTTTTTAAATATCTTTTGAGCAAGGGAATCTCTAAATGCTTAATTCTCCTCTAAAAGCCTGAGGGTATCCTTGTCTCTTATTGGACAAAAGAGATGAAATTTTATGGAAGGAAGAGCACAAGCACAAATTAATTTTTGGTTTGACCTTTGTGCAAAGCTCTTACTAGGAAAATACTGGGCGATGTGTTAGTAGCTAATGGGCTCATTGATTCTAGGTTGAGGAGTAGAGAAGCACGTAGTCTATGTAAGGTGGATATGTAGAAAGCATATGATCATGTTAACTGTTTTTTTTTTATTTTTTATTTTTTTGTTTTGTGCTCATGAGGACGGATATTGGATCCAAATGGCGTAATTGGGATTAAGGTGTGCATCACTGCTCCTCTATTTTCTATCCTTATTAATGGTAGTGCTAATGGATCGTTTGTGAGCTCAAGGGGTGTGAGGCAAGAGGACCCTCTGTCTCCTTTCTTATTTATTTGTATTACTGAAGCATTGAATTTGATGGCTCAAAAAGGTAGTGGATGACAACCCATAGCAAGGCTTTAAAACAGAGAGGATGGAAGGGGAGGTGGCCTTATTACAATTTGCTGATGATACTCTTTTTTGTGTGTAATAATTCCAGAGAGCAGGTGGAAACATTGACAGAGGTGCTGATTGAGTTTGAAATGGCATCTGGTCTGAAAATCAACTTGCATAAAAGTAAAATTGGCTGGGAGCCAGGGGATGGGTGTGCTTGCGCTAGCTGTCTACTAAGTACCTTGACCTTCCACTTGGAGCAAAATATATATCTGACTCTATTTGCGGCCCTGTTTTAGAGAGAATTGACAAGAGATTATCTTCCTAGAAAGGAAATTACCCATCTAAAGGGGGGCAAATTAACTCTTATTGAGAGTATCCTATCTTCTTTGGCTACCTACTATCTCTTATTGTTCCCGTTCCGTCTAAGGTGGCTAAGTGCATTGAGAGGAAGATGAGGGATTTTTTTTGGAGTGGATGGGGGGAAGATTCAAAAAATCATCAAGTCAGGTGGGAGAAAATTTGCAAATCTAAAGCTGGGGGCGGGGTTGGGAACATGGAAGATCAATGAGGGGTTGATAAATGGTTGTTGGAATTTGGTGAACAGGATGATGGGTTGTGGGAGGAAGTAATTGAAGCTAGCTATGGTAGATGTGATAGGTGATGGGAAACTAGGAAGGTAACCTCCTCTTATGGGTATTCCTTATGGAAGGGGATTGATAAAGCTCATGCAGAATTTTCAAAAGGATTATGTTCAAAATTGAGGATGGCAGCGGAGTTAGATTTTGGTCTGATGATAGCCCTCTAAAGGTGAGATTTCTGCAGCTTTATTGAATTTCTAGAAACAGAAGTGACCTTGTTAGAGATAACTTTGAAATGTTTAGTAACAATATAGTGAGTGTGGAGGCCCCTGTTTAGAAGGAATTTAAATGATTGGGAGATTCTAGGGATGTTGGAACTTCTCAAAAGCTTGAATAGGGTGGATGTCAATCCTTCTCAGTGGGATAGGAGGATTTGGAGATGGGGGAAATCCGGTAAATTTTATGGCAAGGTTAATGGATGGTTGTTTCTCAGCAGAGAAGATTTGGCACACTTTAGTGCCCTCAAGAGTCTTGTTTATGGTTTGGACAACAGCTCTTTATAAATGTCTGACAAAAGAAAAATTGACTGTGAGGCGTATGGGGTTGAATGGTGAGACATGCATTCTTTGTAATGTGGATGTGAGAACAATGATAATCTGCTCATTCATTGCAAGGTAGCTGATTTGTTGTGGCAATGGGTGAAAAGCATTTTTTGGGGTTGCTGGCTGCAAAGCAGTAACTGTAGAAGATTTTATCAAAGACTGGAAGCTTAAGGGTCTAAGCAAGGAAGGCAAAATCGTTTGGAAGACTATCCTCTTTTTGATTGACCGTCTGAATCACTGAGGAGTGCAGGTCAATAGCGGATGCACTATGTGCAAGCCATATGAGGAGTGTTTGAACTACTTATTCCGTTTTTGTCATGGACCTCCTTCGTTTAGGAGTTCTATAGCTTTCTTTTTTAAATGCCTTGAATCTGTCCATCTTCTCAAGTCATCTTATCTTGTTTCAATTGCCTTCAGGCAGTAAAGAATTCTCTTTGGCTGTGGTTCTTTTTGCCATATTCTGGGAAATTTGGAAACAAAGATAGAGGGGAATGGTTGATAGCTGAGAGAGGCCATTGGTGCACCTTTGCATGGACATTGATGACTTGTTATTATTTCGGCTCTAGCTCTTGGTGATTTTTAAGGAGTTTAAGCATCAAGATCTTGTTTTTAGGTGGCATACTGTTTTGAGTACATATGATTGAAAATCAATAAAGAGATGATCAAACATCTCTTGTTTTGTATGCTCTCTTTCCATAATTTCAACTTTAGTCATTCTTTGGTTTTTCTGTCTCTTCGTTTAGGTCACTGAAATGTTGGTGCTTTAATTTGCATTCACAACTTTTGGCAATTGACTGATATATGGCACGCTTGTGTTTTACATTATATACTTTGTGTTCTAATATCTATGTTTTATTATTAGAGAACTAAGTTGACTAGATATCTAGGTCTAACAATTTCCCTTACTGTAGCAGGTCTTCTTACCAAGCTGTTCACAAGAGTCCAGAACATGTCAATACACCTTCAGCTAGATTTCCAAAGGATTGCATGAGGGAGGTGCTTCATGAACAAATTACTGTTGATAATGTTCAATTCAAATCCATGTTGAATCTTTACCCTAAGAGTGCTCCAACCAGTGGCTTCTCAAGTCCAACACTTAGTCCTCGAAGATTTAGTAATTGTGATGCTTTTCCTTATTCCTCCATTCAATCTCAAGGTTTCCAGACCTGGTCTGCTCCAGAATTTCCAAACTTCGATATGCTTGTTGGGTTGTCTCCACGGGCTTCACCAGATAAAATTCTGTCTAGTCCTGATCATTCTCCAATTCAAAGTCCTACAGTAAATAGTCCTGGCTTAAAGATCAAGAGTCCTAGAGTGAGCTGTTCCAGTCAAAGCCGCAGAAGTTTTAGTGGAGCTGTATCTACATTACATCCAGCAGCATGGCATGACAATAATGGTCATTCCAATGTCCATCCATTACCTCTTCCTCCAGGAGCCATACTACCTCCTCTATCAACTTCTTTTCATCAAACTACAGCTAAACCAGAGGTATCATCGAAGGCTGGTCAATGGCAGAAAGGAAAGCTTATTGGAAGTGGTACATTTGGAAGCGTTTATGTTGCCACAAACAGGTATGCAACTACTCTGTAGTTTCTATTTTGTTTTTTTTTTCTTTGCAGTGAAAACTAACACTTGCTTTTGTATAATAGGGAAACTGGAGCTTCATGTGCAATGAAAGAAGTTAATTTGATTCCTGATGATCCCAAATCTGCGGAGTGTATAAAACAATTGGAGCAGGTTATTTTTCTAGAAATCTGTACAGTCTCCTAGCCAACTCACTATATTGATGTTGTATTCAAGCATACTTAGATTCATGCAGCTGACCCCATATAGTTGGGATAAGGCTTAGATGATAATTATGATAACAGCATAATGGCCATGCTGACCTTCAGAAATGTGAAATTATTCACTTATTGGAATTTGGTTATTGAGAGGACTGAGTGTTTGATTGTTTTGCCATTATATGTGAAGAAGAGTAAAGTTTTCTTTAAGTCTGATTATAAATGTGAAGAAGGAAACAAATGTGTTCCATGTCATACTGACCATCATTCAGTTGCATGTCTCTGGAAAAATGCTGATGGTGAAGTGATAATTTGCTCAGTGTTTTATGGACTATCCTAAATGGACAATTTGTCTGTGTCAGACAATCATCAGAGTTTGACAGCCCATGGATTCTTGAGGACACTTCTATGTAACATTTTCTTTTTATCTCCCAGTTTATGTGACATAATAAACAGCTAATGTACAAGATGAATGCCATTTTTTTGTATAAATGTTACTCAGTATCAAAGCCAACATCTTAGCCCCCTTTTGCAGGTATATAATGTTAGGATTCAAAAAATATAAACTTTTTTAATAGTACATACTTTTCCATAGATGTACTCTTGAGTCCATATTTTCTCATCTTTTTTTTTGATGAATAATAATAAATTTATTGATTCAGAAGCAAATTTAGAGTGAGTTCATACATCATCCCAGCGAGAGGCGCGAGCTGCAACCCCTCCTTGAATCTTACAAGTAAACTAGGAAAGAAAAACAAGAATCACAACTGAGCCCAAAATAATTCTTCCCTATTTACCCCTTGCTTAACTAACATATCTGACAAAAGTATTTGCTGATCTCCCCACCCACTGTACAGTGACCAACATATTCCTTGTCAACCAACTAAATTTCTTCATTTCATTCTTGTATCGCCACATAGCCTCTTCAGAATTTTTCAACCAACCCACCACCACTTTGGAATCCCCCTCGATTATTAGTTGTTGTACCCCTAGCTGGTTTGCAATTTGCACCCCTTGTACAACAGCTAAAAGTTCTGCCCTGATGGAGTTCCCAAATCCCAAGGGACCTGAGTAAAGCAACAAAATCTCTCACTTCACATTTCTCAAAGCACCCCCCATTCCAGATAAACCTGGATTACCCATGCTACTTCCATCAAAATTCAACTTTAGTGAGCCTTCGGATGGAGGAGACCAGCTTGTAATTGATTTGTCCTTTAGGGATGAACACCTCGCTATTGCTGACCAATTTCTCCAAAGGTCATTAAAGGAGAATTGATGAAAGATTTCCAAGGTCTTCAGCCAATGTATTGCCCTATTTAACACACAGTCTTTCAAATCCTGGCTGCTCCTTTCCTTTTCTTGAAAGATT